AAACTCAAGTTTCCAAACATGTCCTAAGGGAATATATATATATATATATATAATTTTTGAACTCAAGGGAATTTTTTTTTTTTTTTGTTGTTGCGGGGAATCCCTTTTTACTATCTAATTTTGAGGGTAGATTTTGGTAGTTTACATTTATTACGGGCTTAAGGGGCAAGTATAGCTTAGGTATTAATCTGTCTATACCTGTATTTAACTTGAAAATTGAAAGTTTTGAAGCTCAGTTGTATATTGAAAATTTATACCTATTACTCAATTCATTAGGTACACGCATATTCATAAGTATATTTATATATCTATTGAATATTATAATCTTTAATACAAATTAAAACATAATTAAACCTACTATAAAACACATTTTAGTTTATACATAATACATATGCTTAAGAAAATACATGAGTTTATACTTATAATAAAATATATAAGTTAGAACACAAACATAATTAAGGGTAATTGATTAAGGATGGAGTGGTAGATTTTTTATAATCAATGAAATAATTATTGTTGAGTTTAGGAGAGTACAACGAAAGTGAAAATTTTAAAAATTTAACCATATCCTCTTTCAACCAACATAGGATTTTTATGAATCCATTAATGGTTAAAAAAGGTTTTATCATCAATACCTCAATAACGTGTACCTCATTGATGCATGGATTTGTAGAATTCCTCTAATAGTGATTCACACGTATGCTCAAGGATTCTTAGAATAATTTTAGTGGTATAAAATTTTACAATGAAGAATCAACTAAGGCTTTCATTTTCTACTTCTATTTATATTAATAGGAATAGAAGACTTGCCGTTTTAATTCAAATTAAAATTACCAAAATTGGTCTTTTAGTCAAAATAGAAATCCCAAAAAAAAAAGAAAAAGAAAAAGAAAAAGAAAAAAACACTTTCTTTTCTTCTTCCTCTTGCTACACACCCTAGTCCATGTTAAACTAGGAGTGCCAATCATGAGCCTCCTTGCCCATGTGCTGCCCAAGTCCTAATCCAATGGACTAGGGTTTCAGCCCATAAGTCCTCCAAGGACTTAGTTGTCACTTTGGATTATTCTTATCCTTAATTTATAGAACAAATCAAAACTTGAATTAATTTAATTAATTCTATCTACCAATTTATATTGGATCTTGATTATTATTATTATTTTTTTTTGTGAAATGTATTTTCACATAAATTAATTTATATCTACAAACTTAGATTTATAGAAATTTCAATCATCAGAACACACTAAGTGTATGACCCTCTAAGTTTCTATCATGATGGCAATGTGAAATATTCATATACCAAGAGCAGTATTTAGTAACACATCACGGCTACCCAAAGTGATAAAAAAAAGTTAATGACTTCGATGAACCTTCCAATGACCAGTGCACTTGTGTAATTCAATTCTTTTGTCATTGATATCTCCAACAAGTAAGATGCATGCTATGTGTCATCATCTTTAAAGCTTAATGTATCTTTCTTTGATTCCCAAAACATGCATACGTCATGAATGAACTTTCATTCATACCATGGCCATGGGCCTTATAAGTAGTCATATCTCAATCAAAGGGTTGAAGATATCTTCTCTCATAAACTCAAGAAGGACTAGTCTTATCTTGACTCACCCATTACTCTACAATTTGTGATACGTACACTTATATCACTCACAACTCCTTGAAGGGGTTGTTTTTAACAGCATCAAAGTATATAAACTCTTACATAGAATAATAATAATCTTGAGTCAAAGGATCACTTACACTTGTGTTACAATTGAGAAGCTATTAATGACATATATATGTAGAGTTCTCATAGCGAGTCAATTCAGTGCACTCACTTATTTTAAGTTACCCATATGTGGCACATGATTTTGTGAAAAGAATCCTTATCACCTAAGAAAGCATCACATATGATAGTGTTTATATCATTTATATCTCATCTCAATAACATATATAGCTAATAAATAATTTAACAATATTGCTCTCATATTATACGATTTTCACTAATAGTGATTGCTACTATTACTTTGATTCTCTCTTGAATGTACAATCACTCTCTCTCATTCTCCTTTCAATGCCCCACACTGATTTTCCAGTCTTCTTACTGTCTTCTCTTCTTTGTACCTTCTTATCCAGCTTTAGCTTTGCAATTGAATCATCATAGCTTCTTCCTAGAAGGAAATTCAACCGAAAAGGCTTAAAACATGGTGAAATTTCAGGCCAGTGTGATCCAAGTGAAATTTAAGACGCATAAAACCTAAGGTTGTTGACAAGCCCTGCAAAACTATAATAAGAGGACGGGTCTACTTTTGCAAAGGAAAGCAAGGTATACTTGTGCAAAGGAAAGCAGTGTGCACATCCTCGATATGGGGAGCTTTTTGACAGAGCTTGTTGACAAGCCCTGCACCTTCTGAGACTTTTGTTGCAACCCGAATGGGTAAAGCAAAATAGTTGTTGTACCTCCATTTCATGTCGATAGCATCAAGTTTAGATGGGACCGAAAGAGGAAAGCAAGTTTTCCAAGCGCAAAACAAGGATGGTACGTAGTACCAATGAATAGAGTAATAGGCTATAGATTGAAGAAGACAAACTGTAATATGTTATTGCTGTCTTGTGAATAATATATATACAGAAGCATCAACGCAGAATCCTAGCTGATATGGAAACAATATATATGATACAGTATAATAAACATATAAATTACAGATTCAATGAATCCCAGAATCATGCTGTCGTTGATTACTGATCACGCGGAAGAAGCTTGATATACAGTTGCCTTAACACGCCCCCGCAAGATGGAGGTGCCATCAGCAACACCAATCTTGGAAGGCAAACTGGAAAATGGAGCAGTGGGCAGAGCCTTGGTAAGGCCATCAGCAAGCTGATCATGAGAAGAAATGTGAGATACAGTTGCCATAACATAGAGAAAAACCTCCTAAGTGTGACAAGCCTGGAAATGAAGAAAAGTCCTTTAGAGATAGTTTAAGAATCCATGGAAAGATTACAATCATGCCGCCTTGAACCTTTTAACATCTCTATTTGGACATACACCTCCATGTCACCACCTGCTAGCACACTACCAATCCTTGAATCCTCATTGTCATTAATTGGTAACACCGAACCTGCTCCTTAAAATATAGGTTGTATCAGTGAATATGTAAGTAGGAGACGAAAATCTATTTATAAGTTCCACCTTAGAAGTATGAAAATTACCACCAAACCAGCTTCTAGACCCTAACACCTGCATAGACTTTAAATCCTTCAAGCATTGCCATCCAGTCCAACAGCTAGAACTAGTGGGTTTCCAAACCTTGACACCAATCCTCCCACATCAACACCACCAACCATTGGAGCCTAGATGTGCTGCAGACCTTAAAAGTTCAGGTGTAGAAAGAACAAAACAGAAATATTCATTCCACGAGCATAGGAAGTTTAATGTATACTTATTCTGATTGCTTTGTATTCACATACTAGTGCAAAAAATATACCAACACTCAAGATCTCTTCAATATAGCAGCTAGCTTTATGATCAAACCCAAGGCTCATTAAGTTCCCCTTTAACTAAGTGAAACCAAAATCGAGAACACCAAGACCCCATAGTTAGCTAACGTTGCACCAGTCTGAGCACCAATATAATCCAATAAAAATGCCCGAAAAACGATCAAATGGGTCCAAGTGATTGAGATAATTAACAATATATCCAAGATAAACCATATCACCCAAGACTGGAAATTAATTCTAAACCCTAATACCCAACAACCAAACAATCCAAGGAGGGTTTCAAGAGGAGATTTCACCTGAAATCACTGCTATCCACCCAAGCCGTAATGAATTTCAAAAGCCCTTTCCAAAACATAACAAGCCTTAGGGAAATACGATCCTCTTTTCTGAGTACCCTTGAACCAGTTGCAAAGAAAAGAAAGATCTGACCCATAAATTGGTGTTTTGAGATGTTAAATTCAGGGGAATAGCTAAAGTTTGAAAATTGGTTTGATAGTTTTGGGCTGACGATTAGTCCAAAAAAAAAGGTTTTGGGCTGACGATTGGAGAAGAAAAGATGCTGGAAATGATTTTGGGTTTTATTGAGATTGAAATGGAAAACTTCAAACAGAAACTAACGGAAAGTAGAGGGAACGTTGGAGGCTGGTATTTACAGGGGGAGGTGAGGTGGCAGGTGGGAGGTGGGAGATGGAAAACAGCATTTGGGAGCGTCTAGCAGCGGCACCCATTAGGCTGCGGGGGAAACCCTCATTGGAGAGCAGAAAGACTTAGGGCCATAATAATCCTAGAGGTGATTAATGTGGATATAATTGAAAGATCTATTATTTCAAAATTTTGAGAGTTTCAACTTGGCCTTAATAGCAAAGTAAGGGTCATATACTCGCATTCGTTCCACAACCACGGTTCTATGTTATATAAATTGAACTTGGTATTTTTTATGGAGGTGCAACTAAGGCTTATGCCCTCGGTAAGCAGAGGGGTATTATAGATGTAAGGGAATTGTAGGAGCGTTGGTGTTTAGGTTAGCATGCTTTGAGGTACTTCTATAGTTGTAGTAATAGCCATTATGCAGAATAGTTTCCATTATTTTTTAAGGATGAGTTTGGAGTCTCTCTGCATGGAAGTTTTTTTTATATAGTTTTGACTAATTAATTCAGTTTAATATAAATCATATGAAATTTATAAGTTCTCTCAAAATATTAAATAACTTTCATTGAGTAAATCTTATAAAAAAAATACAGTACAATTTAAAAATCTAAAGAAACCCAACTAAACAGAGAAAGATAAACACAATATTAAAGTAGATATACACTTATTAATTAAAGCAAGACGCAAAAGGATATGTATGAAAACATTTCAAATTAGTCTATGCATGCACCCTAACACCTTGCACTTCTCACACACCGTGATGCTATCTGCTGATCGACGTTATTCCCTCCATACTAAAGGTTTAGGGCACTTTCAAGACCGAGGGAAAATTGTGAATGTTGTTTGCAGCAGGGTAAGTAGAAGCAAGAAAGTTGCGGCAAAAAAGGAGATCAAAGCCCATGGAGTGTTGAAGTAATTGTGCCTTAAGTTTGTCATCCTTGTGTTCCAAGGTGTGTAGTAATGTCTGTTGACATCATTAAACAACTTGGCATAAAAGAAGTTGTCTTTGTCAAGGGCCATTTCTCTTCCAAGCCTATTAAACATCTTGGCAGCTGCTTCATCCGTGCCTAACCAGTGATCCATTATCCCTTTGTGACAAAGTAACTCCACATCCTTCCCTGTATCAATGAGACAACTCATGACTGTTGTATAATCGGTTAAGTATGTTGGAGATTCATAGTCATCAAACTGTTCACAGGCAATGATATTGCAATACAATTCCTCAGTATGATCTTCAAGATTCACAGCTGGAATGTAAAGTGTCCCATTTTCAAACTTTATATCAAACAAGTTGCGTCCCTCACCCATTCTGAACTTGATTCCTGCCTCCCTTAGTTCTGTAGCAGAGCGTATGAATTTTATATCTTCTTGCACATTCTGGTATTCACGTAATGAATCTTCTGAAGGGAGCCAATTGGTGCGTAATAAATCTAATAGATGCTTGACCTTTTTTATTGAATTTTCATCGTAGGTTAGACGAACCCTGAGCCCTGGCAATCCTTCTTTAAACATCTCAATAATGAAATTAATGAAAGGGCTTCGATCTTCAAAGGCATTGCCTAGAAACTCCCATATTACAAAAAAGGGTAGTTGATTCTCTACTAGTACCAAATCTTTCACAATGCTAGTGAAAATCTGACTCACATTTAAGATAGGATCATGCTGCCAACTTCCCTCTTTTATTTTGTGAATTAGCTCAACAGTAAAACATCCATCAAGAACCATCATTTCTAAAAATTCTTCATCAGAAATAACCAAAGATTCTGAATAACATTTACGAGCCCTTTCCATCATATCTGTCATGGCCTCCACATATCTTTGAGCACTATTCTCATTTCTTCGTTGAAGAAGATCTTTCAGAAAACGCACCTTTTGTGTTTCCATTGCTTTTAAATGATCTTTTTGACGATGATAAGGGCCAATAGATATGATTTTAGGTTCATAGGCTTCTTCATTTAGCTTTCGTAAATAATGAGGCACTTGAAAAATTTTAGGCCATGAAAAACTGTTAGCCGGGAGGGTCTGTATCCAGCCATCTATACGAACCTGGACAGTGTTATTCATTTGCGACATCCCCTGATACAGTATATAGAAACTTAATTTGTAGACAATGAGATATATTATGGATGCCAAAGGATGAAAAATTCAGGTTAAGCTTTCAGACGGACAAAAAAAAAAAAATCTATTTTTTTTAATAAAAAAATGTTAAGGTATGGGAGAATGGTTCAGATTCTTACTAGTTGAACACAAATATCAACATTCACCTGTTTCAATTAATTTTTTTTATATCATATATTTTGATAAGAAAATTTAAAAAGTAAGTGCAAAAATTAAAAATTTTAAATTCACTACTTGATCAAATTATAAGATGCAATCAAACTAGGTCGCAAACGCTAAGCCAAAAGATATTGGGTTCGCTGTTCTAGCAATGCCCTAAACTAACACTTCAATATTTGAAACTAGATGTGCAAAAAAAAAAAAAAAAAGAAGAAGAAGAAAATCTAAGTAGAAACGGACTGAAAATTCAAGATTTTTATTGAAATTGAAAGTTACTTACAATGATGAGGTGAAGAAATTGAAATCTTCGCGTACAAAGCTTCAAGAACCCTGGAACTAATTTGGTTTGAGGTGAGGAAACAAAGCTCCAATGACTACAGGAATGAAGGATCCTGGATCACCAGGAAGCAAAGGGTGGCTGGAAATCGGGTTTTGTTTCTAAAATGGGAACTGCAAGCTTGGATTAACAAAGGTACAGCTACTATCGAACTCACTAGAAACTTATCAAAACCCAGAATCACCTGAAATCTCCAGCCTCCTCCGAACAAAAAAACCTCTCTCCCCCAGCCCAAGTTTTTGCCTCGTTTCTATACCGAGCCTTGCCGCGTCTTCCCTTTTTCGGCGAAGCTTCCTCGATGGAGCTGGATAATCCGAGCATGAGTAGGCAGAAAGCTTGAGCTTATTTGCGGCGAAGGTGTGATTTGTAAGATTGGCGCTTCAATCCATAGTTTTTCTTCATTTATCATTTTAGTCCCACATTTATTTCCTGATTGCAATTGGGTCCCTCCAGGATGAAACCTTGATTTTAAATATTCTCAATTGAGTACAAAATAACATTAAGTGAAAATTTATCTCGATTTTTATTTGACACATTTTTTGTATTAATTTCCCCATTACATTAAAGATCAAATATTTTGAAAATTTTCATTTAAAAACTTGAGAAATTGTGAGAAATTAATGTTTCTAGAAAAATCAAGATTTCTCTCCTTTTTTTTTTCTCTTCTCTCTCTTTATATATATATATATTTATATTTTTTTTTCAAAATATTAAAATGAACTTGTCAAAAATTAAGTTATGACAATATATTTGCCTACATCTTTAAAATTTTT